AGGTAACTTGTTATATAGCAAGAGATACCTTACAGAGAATCTCACTTCTTTCTTGGAGTAAGAGATAACTCTGTTGCTGTTTTTTAAAAAAACAAAATCTCAGACTGAGGATGGGGAAGGTGGTAATTCATCTGGTCAGAGGTGTTCAGTGCCATTTGGTGAAAATATTGAAACTAAGTAGCCCAGCAAATATTGGTCAAGTTGAACTGAACTTAGACAAAAAAGCAGCTACAATCCAGGTGTTCATTATGCAATAAAACAGAAGTAGGGTAGCAATGAACAAAACAAGAAATACCAGAAACTGTGCTATGATCAAGAGTCCGGAGATAATTACCTTTGCTAGTCATCAAATATTTTGAGTTTGAGTTTTGAGGAATGCCCATGTTTAACCAAGGAGAATGAGCAGGCAAGGAGAGACAGCGACAGAGGGGCAGGAAGATGCCTGGGTTTCGTGGAGGCCAAAAGAGGATGATGCTGACGGCTGACAAGAGTATCAGAGCCTGCTGAAGGCAAGGTGAGGTGGAAGTGGCTTGTGGAATTTCTGTTCTTCTGGTCATTAGTGACTTTAGCACTGGTGGTGTGGGGTGGCAGTAAAGAAACTAGTTAGATCCAAACGGGGATAGGGAGTGTAGACAATGATAAAGTAATTCCAAAATACATTATAAAAGAGGAAAATATAAGAAAAAAACATTGAAAAGTGAAGTGAGCATGTGATATAAAAGTTGCTAGCATGCTGACATACATTTTCAATTCAGGAGGAGAGATAAAGAGCAGATACACTATGGGCCTTGACATGAAATTCTGCAAACCTTTAAAATGATAATCCTTTGAATTCCTGACCTGTAGGTGTTCTATTGTCAAAGGACAAAAGAGATTATGCCCTTACAACAGGATTTTAGAGGATTATCCACAGACTGGGTAACAGAATTCTTACCTGGGAAAAAGTAAATGATATGTTGCAAATAAGTAATCAGATAATTTCCCTGTGTCCAGAGAACAGAAAAAGCTCAACATGCTTAAAGATTCTAAGAGAGTACAAAAGAAGCCATCTTCTCATAGAACCTGTGATATGTGTCCTTTCTTAAAAAGAGTGAAGGGTAAAAGTTCCAGGATTCTTTCAGACCTAAGGAAAGACTAAGTTGGACTTGGTGAGGGAAGTGGATGCTGGGTGAAAATGGATAAAGCAAACTTTGCACCTAAAGGTCAGGCACTGTAAAAGACACAGAGAAAGAATGGATGGAAAAGAGGAATTGATGTGAGTACTCTTCTAAAGGTATCTATGCTTAGAATACATGGAACGTATTGTATGTGTTCAGCCTATCAAATGGACTGGAGAACATTCAAACCTATGCACAAGTAATTACTTCAATATTAAGAAGGAGATATTATAGAAAAAACAACATTACAAAAAGAATAAACTTTGTCTTTGAAACTTGAGACAATACAAATACAAATAAAGCATAAAAAAACATTCACTGAACTGTGATAACAGATCAAAACTGCACTTAGCAAACCACCTTTTCTCTGTTTGGGAAAAATCTCTCTAAAACACAATATGTTAATTAAAGGATCTCAGGTAGCAATCATGGAATCGTATGAAGAACACAGATATTCTGAGGACTAAAATTGCACAAACAAAATGAAGAGACAGTTTGTCCACTTTTTGGCAGTGCAAAGTTAGAGGGAATGCAAATGAATGTGTTGTCAGTTGAATTACACTATTAACCACCTAAAAATTGGGTTCATTATCTAAGAAGGCAAAGCATCAATTTGTAGCATTATAACATTTTGTTTGTGCTGCTGAACATGTGTTTGGATGTTTTTATGCTTTTGAACTGTGGTGTTGGAGAAGACTCTTGAGAGTAGCTTGGACAGCAAGGAGATCAAACCAGTCAATCCTGAAGGAAATCAGTCCTGAATACTCACTGGAAGGACTAATGCTGAAGCTGAAACTCCAGTACTGTGGCCACCTGATACGAAGAACTGATTCATTGGAAAGGGCACTGATGCTGGGAAAGATTGATGGCAGGAGGAGAAGGGGACGACAGAGGATGAGATGGTTGGATGGCAGCACTGACTTGATGGACATAAGTTTGAGCCAGCTCTGGGAGATGGTGATAGACAGGGAAGCCTGGGTGCTGCAGTCCATGGGGTTGCAAAGGGTTGGACATGACTGAGTGACTGAACTGAACTGAACTGAACTCATTTGGGTGCATAATAAGTACTTCAGCATCAGCCTTTTGATAGAAGCTTAATTTTGTGTTATTTCTATTATATTGTTCTCTCTGATGGGAATGATATTCTGCCTTATAAACACTTCATTTATTCTTCAAATAATTCTGAGTTCAGGTTCTTATGTTTCTCAAAATGGCATGCGCAGGATTATAGACATAGCTTAAAAACCGAGGTACTCTTTGATTAAAAAAATTATATTTGAATAACCTGTAAAAAATATTCATTCACTCAATCACTCATTCTTCACTCTTTTAAGTGCATGTATTGAGCTAAGCACAGTGGGAAGTTCAAGGACTGACGTGGCTTTGTCTCTGCCCTCAGGATGCTTATAACACAGAAGTAGTATAATATTATTACTACCTTCAGACAGTACAAGCATAAGGCCTTCAAATCTTAGAGGAAAGAAAGAGTAAAGTATTCTTTCATTTCACAAATTATTTTTTGATGTGCTAGGCACCATTCCAGGGACTGGATATGTAAAAGGAACAAGATAGGGTGCCAAGGGAAGAATAAGGTGCCAAGGCACCTTATTTTATTACTGTTGCATTCTGGGGATGAGATAAAAAATAAGGCAGAAAACAAGCAAACAAATAATATAACTTCAGGTGGCCAAAATTGCTATGAATAAAACTGAAGCAGGACAACATGAGGGACAGTGGTGGGGGCAAAGGGTGTGCTTTTAAGGGAACAAAACCCTCTGTGAGAAGGTGACGGCTGAATAGAGATTGGATGATGTAGGGAGCAAGCATTTGAAGATATGAAGAAAAGGCTTTCCAGGAAGACAGACTGATACAGAAAGGCTTTGAGGCAAAAATGAGTTTGATATATTCTGGAACAAAAAAGAAAGTCACATGACTAGAGAATGGAAGAAAGAGAGAATGAGAGATGAGGTCATACTAGTATGTGGGAAGGGGTCAGATCCTATTGATTTTCGTAGGTCATGATAAAGATTCTAAGTGCAAAAGGGAATCCATTGTGGATTTTAAGCAGGATGTGGCATGATCTGATTTACATTTCTGTCTGGGTGCAGTGTGGAAATTCAACTGTAAAGTGGTGAGAAAGGTAACTGGAACGGAGATTAGGCATCTATGCATTGTCCAGGTGAGAGGACCAATCAGAAATTGACTCAAGTAGTCTAACATAGACACAACAAATTAGATTCTATTGTGGTAGTTTGATTAGACATGGTTGGTGTGGACTAGGGTAATAATTACTAAAGTGGTAAGAAGTGGTTCACTTCAGAAGTTTCACAAAAAAAGTGATTCTAATTGAAGATACAAAAGTAGCAAGGTGAACAATATGTTAATAAGAATTACTTCCAGATATAGTGCTAAGGACTTTTATTCTTTTCCTTTTAGTGTAGAAAACTGTATTATTAAAACTCCTGTGTATGCTTGACTTTCCTTGAATTTGCAAAAGTGGTAAGTTTCTATCAGTAGATACTTAGTTCACTGTCAGTTGGCAAATTTCATCTTGTCACTTCCTTAGAAACCATGGTTAATATTTATCTTTCCCATTCTGAGAAGGAGAAATTAAAGGCTCCTTAGAAAGGAAAAGCATAGAAGAGAATATAAATATATAATACATTCATATATTTAAATGCATCTTTTACTGTCATCTGCTACCCTGCCTCCAATCTTGCCCCCTGAATCTTTCCCCAAGTGGATGACCCAACTTTAACATTCTCCCCTTCTAATTTCTCTTGTCTGCAGCCTCCAGAACTAACTGGCCTAAAGCAGTCTACTCATGTCCATTCCCCTGTGCTCACAGAATAAATTTCAAATTCCTTAACCTGATACCAACCTGACCCAACTTACTTTTTCTGTTTCATTTCTGGCTCCATTCTCTGATTGTTTTAATCACATTGGATTTTTTTCATCTTTTAAAAATTATTTTTAAAATTGTGATGAAATAACAAAACATAAAACCACATTAAACTGTCTTGAAGTATTATACATAATTTAGTAGCTCTGAGTACATTCACATTATTGTGCAAATCCTATTGGATTTTAAATCATGAAGTATCACTGTTCCTCTAATGCTTCTGGCAGTTTGTTGACTGGACCATACCTCTATCTATGTGATTCCCGCTGGGCCCTGAAATGCCTTTCACTTTCTTTACCAATTAAAATCCTACATGTTTTACTGAGCACTGAAGACCAGTGCTCAGATCCCACCTCTTGTTTTAGGCTCCTGTGAAACCTTTCCTAGAAACAGAAGGTCAACTCTGTTGCTAAGTAACTTAAAGTTAAAAGGATGCCTGGTTGGTAAATGGCATTTGAACTGGGAGGATTTATACATGAACTATAAATACCGGAAGGGGACGTGACACTTGCACTTCCCTGAGTAAAGACTTGTGATTAGGCAAGTTCCGTGCCCCTGGAGGCTAGGGCTGTGGAGTTGTCATAAGAGATACTGCCTCGAAGGGCAGGCGGCTCCTATTCCAGGAACATTCTTCTACCCACCCAATACTGATCTGTCCTCTTGCACCTGATCTGTCACCTGGGGGGTATGGACTGATTGTCTGTACTGCCATGCAGAATCCCACCAAAGAAACACTTGTAAGCTGCCCTGCCGGCCAGAGGCATTTCCTGTGTTACAGCTAATGAACCTGAATGTTTAATTGGACTAAGAAGACCTGATTTGGCTTTGGGGAGTTGCATCAATATGCAGACATATTGTCCTAAGTATTAACACGCTTTGCACACCTGGACTTCAAACCACTGGGGCTAGACTAAAGACTAGGATAATAAATGCTGTCTTACCTTTGGAAGGAGCTGGATTGCCTGTAGAATTCTTTGTCGGTGCCCAGAATTAAGGATTCCAATTTCCAACAAATCCTGGTCTTCCATAACATTGCTTCCCTGAAACAAAACCAGAAATGTTATAAATGAAATTAGCCAGTTTTACTGGGCATAAATAATGGTTTTCTTAATACAGAGAAAAATAACCAACAAGTGATCTGATTTTTATTAACAAAACCATAGAGTCAATCTTCTGTAAGAGTAAGGTGAGAGGAGGTCACCTAGATGATTGAGTTGGAGGTTCTGGGAAAGTTCCTTTTACACAATAAGTACTCTCAAGGCTTACTATTTATGGCTGGATTATCTGCATTGGGAATTCATTTCTGTGACTCAAAACCCCGTTCCTCTAAAAATACATATGCTCCTAGGAAAAGCTGCCATTTAAACTATCAGTGACCTATACGTTGATGTGAATGAACCAGTTTTTTTCCCCTCTGAAGACACATTTTGTAAGGAGAGCTGATGGAAAAATTGAAGTATCCTAGGCAAGCTAAAAGAATAATTCATCTTAAATACTGAATGTCAGATGTCTGATCAAGGTATGAGGATACGACAATGAATAAGATGCAGGTCCTTGCCCTCAACTGTTGATTCCTTCTAGTCTAGAGATGGAAGCAGATTTTTCAAAAGCAGTTAGGATGCTGTGAGTGTGCTAGCATGGTGACACGTGCTTGAGAATGCAGAGGGGACCTGGGGTGTTTTTTCAGCGGAGATGGTGTCTCATCAGACATCTGAGGTACAGTTCAGGTTCAGCACTCAAAATGCAAAGGACTAGGAGAAGTCACATGCAGTGCTGTGTGGGTAAGAAAGAACACAGTGTACTTGGAAACATCAAGTTCTGGGATAAGTTGGAGACAGGAGCAAAACTTAAAAGGCTTAAAAGGCATTGAGAAGCCAGACGACACAGATATTGTATGAATTTCAATTTCATCTTGACCATAACAAGTCATGGGCAGATTTTAACAAAAGGAGTTACACGATGAGACCCCAGACTTAGAAAGATCAACTTGATTTCTGTGGCTGGGCCTGTTGGCTTACCTGTGAAATGATAGGGTTGAGCCACGTAACTTCCAAGGATCAGCCTAATCCTGCTATTCTCCGATTTCAATGATTTTTTTGACCTCTGATTAATATTCTAACATGGAAGCTTATAAATTGCTTATTTTATCCTGAAATTTTAGTCTTTTGGAGCTTGTGAGCTAGAGTTTTCCTTTAAATTAAGGCATCTATAGGGAAGTTCAAGAACTCAGATCACTGCTTTTATGGACAAGTCAAACTCTATCTTACCATTGTGTAAAATAAAAACACTTATGAATAGAAATTACAGAATATCTATTTATGGAGAGCAATGGGTCTTGATGAATATTTAAAGCAAAAGAGAATGAACTGGAAAAGGGCAGTCGTGGGAGCGCGGAGCTGTTAGGAAACAGAGGTTGTTCTTGAGATGGTGTGGGCTTAGGCTAAGATAGTGGTCATGGGAAACAGAAAGATGTGAGCATATTGGAAAACCATCAAGAAGTCTGACTTGGTGACTGAATGCAGAGAATGACAGAGAAACGCAGAATACACACCAGTTCCAGGCTTACTCAACAGGGCTGGAGAGTGATCTTTTCCTGAGATGGGGAGGAGGGGCCAGTCTAGCATGGTGCAAAGACTAATGTCTTTCCCTGGACAGGCACAGGATTGATGAATGTAAACAGTTTAGTATTGGACTATGTTAAAAATTGACACAATTGGCTGTGCTTAGAAAGATTAAAGTCATTAATATGGTACCACAGCTAGGGATTTAAAAACGGGCATTCACTGGACAGAAACATTCCACCTACTCGTAGTAACATTCTTGTGCTTAAGCTACACTGGCCATCTCGGAGGAGGCAGAACGATTCGCGTGTACAGCGGTGTGATAATAAAAAAGCCTAATGAAAAACAAATAAAGCCCGTCTTGGCAACATGCCATAGGAAACACTGCTCTCATGAAATTACTCAGTGCTCACAATAGAGCATGGTCAAGAATATAAATGACTTCATTTTGACAAAGCGTTATTATTTTCAGAAATGGACTAATGTGTCATGAGCAGGATGTATGATAACATTCTGTTTGACTTTCATTCTTTAAGAGATTTTCCAAAGGAGTTAAAAGGCCCTTAAAAAATAAAAACAAATAAAAATACTTTACCACCTTTGTATTTAGATCATTATCCTGTTTTCCAAAGGCTAAATTGCCAGCCTACAACTTCAGCTTATACAAAATAAAGAACCTGGATTTTTTGTACAAAAACAAGACACAACAGGAGGTTATGGTCTGAATTATCTATGGGTAATATTAAATACTTGATTTCAGTGTTTGAATACTGAAATGATTTAAAGAATTTAGTCCTTAGAGACCACTGTTCTTCCTCTAAACCACCAATATATTGCCTTATCTATCTTCAGTAAGGGAGGAAACATTTTGAAGAATTGTAGGGAAGTTAGACAAATTCTCTTTGGGTCAAATACCCTAGCATAGGATAATTCCAAATACTTTTGAAAAATGAGTGAAAAGTATGAAAATCACAATGCAAATGGTGAGAATGAGCCCAAAAGGAAATGGTACTGACTGTAGAAATGTAAAGAAAAGGATTCACTTTCCCCAGTGAGAGGACATTGGAAATTTTATATTTTCTTTCTTATTGTAATATATAGGAATACCAAAAATATTCTGGTGCATCATCTAGCCAGTCCTTTTTCAAAATAGCTCCAGGCTTGGAGCCTCAAGACTTGGGTCTGAGTCCTGTCTCGGGAAATGTGGCTAAAGTGAAAGTGAAAGTTGCTCAGTCGTGTCCGACTCTTTGTGACCTCATGGACTATACAGTCCATAGAATTCTCCAGGTCAGAATACTGGAGTGGGTAACCTGGCTCTTCTCCAGGGGATCTTCCCGACCTAGGGATTGAACCCAGGTCTCCCGCATTGCAGGCAGATTCTTTACCAGCTTAGCCACAAGGGAAGCAATGTGGCTACGTCATATATTATTTCTGAGTCTTGTGGTCCTCACCCATTAAATGAAGCCATTTAATAAATTCCCCTTCAGTTCTACAATGCTCTGATTTCAATCGTGCCCAACTTTGATTAGTATCATTTTATTTAAATACAGATTGTATAATTTGAAACTATATTTTAATTCTTAAGAATTATAACTTAAATTGCCTCAAGAAGTAATTATACAGAGTGCAAGAATGCATGTTATTTTTTTTTGACAAATCAGTATCAGTACTAGGAACTTATAAAATTTCTTATAAAAAGAAATTGTAGAATGCCTTCTTTTTGTAGTATCATGGATTATTACAGCTTTTCAGAGAAAATCAAATATTTCAAATCTTGCAACTAACCATTTTGCTTGTACTTGAGTAATAGTTATGCTATCCAGGACAATAAATATTTCTATTCTTTCAAAGAAGCTAAAGTTTATTCTCTTGTTATAATTTGCCTTCACTGAATGTTAGAAAATCTCAGTTTAATTCATTTTTTTCTCAATAAAAGTTGAACATACACTCTAGCTTTCTCTTTCTTTCATCCATTTTCCATGACTGCCAGATTAGTGGTGTTTGGAGTAGGGCTTCATCGTGTCTATCTTCTACTTAACGACCTACCACACTGCACTCTCCATCTCATCTCCTCATACACATGATGTCTCTAATTTCTTATCTCCCATTTACTCCCCAACTCATCCCAACAGGCTTTTACCCCCACTAACTCCACAGAACTTCTCCATGAAATGTTAAGAATGACCTCTCATATCTAGTGGATTCTTTTCAATCTAGTCTTCAAGGACTCATTGGCCACTTGTGGCTGATGGCTCTATAATGCAAACACAGGACATTGCTGTTATTATAGAATGTTCTATTAGACAGTGCCTCTCTACAGTTAAAGATGTTGAAACTGTAGCTGAATCACATGAACGGGGCAATGATGAGAATGTGACAGGGAATCAAAACAGAGTCAAATATACTCATGAATTATTCTCAGGATATGACTGATGTTCCTCTTAGTCAAAGTTCATGAACATTAAATTTAGAATCTGTAGCAAATTCTTTTCTAATTTTTCAGTCATTGAAGCAAATTAGTAGCTGGTTCTGCTTTCATTAGGGTTTCGTTGCCATGGGGCTAGAAATCTATGCGACCAAAATGACAAGGCCCATTGAGAAATTGTTTATTATATGCTTAGCACACTACCAGGCACATGGCATAGGCATTGAAGGAACAATAATCAGTAGGTAAAGTTGTTTAGTTAATGACTTTCTAGATGGATCAAAGTCACAAGGCAATGGTTTTTTTTTTTTTTTTCTTTTTAACTGATAGGAAATGTCTAATCCAGGTCAGCTTTGTTGCTTTCCTAAATCATGGAATGGAGAAAAATAATCTAATATTTTATGCACTAAGAGTTGAAAGCTGAAGTTTCTATGACCATGGGGTGAATGTCTTATGTATTGGATTTTTTCAGCTATGACAAACTAATAAGATGACCAAATAAAATAAAAAGCAGTGCTTTGTATTTAATGATCCATTTGAAGTAGAACAGCTATTTATTGAAATCATTTCTCAGAAATATCTTTACTGTTTCTGTCTCTGAGAATTTCAGCTTGAAAAGTTCATAACCTTGATGTCATGTTACATTGCATATCATATAAAATGCTAAGGAAACATATTTAAGGACCATAGAGAACTGATTTCTTCTTAATATAAGCTTGAGTTAAATGTTATTTATTTTCTCTCTTCAGTTCAAGACTGAAAAAAACCAAGAAGATACTATTGATTGGAGAAGATTTCTTTTGCTCTATAATTAGCTAAATTAGATTCTTCTTCACAATTTGCATGGCCTTAATTATTTAAAATAGAATGGGTAGTAGAATGATAACATGATCTTGCGAATTCACAAATGTAAAAACATTTTATTTTTAATATACTTTTTTTACAGCATAAATGACATGGTGGCCTAAAACTATATATGACTTTCTTGGGATAACACTTCTACCTTTAAGTTTCTATAAAGATTTTTAGTTAATTTGATATTAATTTACAGGTA